GCTCGATTTCGTCCAGTTGTGCTTTTTCTTGTGCTTTTCTGGTGCTCGATTTCGCCAGTCATTGTGCTTTTTCCAGTGCTCTTTCTGGGGGTGGGCTTAGGAACCTCTTCTTCCTTTTTAACCCTTTCTTGCGGCTGGGGCTGGGGGCATTGTTCCTTCTACTTGGGCCTGGGGATGGGGATACTTTTCCTTTTGCAGCCTTGCTTGGGCGGGGCTTGGGCCTGGGCCATATCTCTCTCTCTCTATCTCTCGCTCTCTCCATCTTTAATCCTATCTCTCTTTCACTTTCTGTGTCTCTCTGTCTCCTTCCCTCTCTCAGGATTTGCTGGTGCTCCTTTTCGCTAACTCAGTATAAGGAAATTTTGTTTTGCACTGCTACAGGGCGGGGGGAGGCCCCAAACTCTATATATCAAATTTGGGATGATCCAATTGTGTTGACTAAATACTACAATGAATTTTACCATATGGAGGGCTATATTTATGTAATATCAATTGCGTGGAAGGAGAGTTCGTGCCACATGGACTGAGATACTGATCCGTGCCTCAGGGAATGAGGGTGGATCCAAAGGAATCTCTATTGCAGGCCCATTGGTCGGATCCCACAATCCACCTACGACCAGGAACACCCCGAGCGGCGCAAGGACCACAGTTCGGACCACTGGTCCGGTGGCTTTGAAAAGCTTTGAACACCAAAATCTGCTGAGTATCAGGCATTGGACCATTTTAAATTTACAAAACTTCACCGCTCAACGCAGTCGCCGTGACATGAACTCACCGACGGTCGCGTGAGATGCACCGGTCGGTCGCATCAGGCTCTATATAAATGCTCTCCAATTGAATTTATATAGCATTATGCTTTGGTGCGGCTATCCGCAAAAATGGGCTGGACAAAAGTGAACAAAAACACGTCCCCCTGGCGCTTTCCCGCGCTTTCCCACGTGGGCGGGAAACAGCGCACCTGGCGCCCGAGACGCCCGGGTCTCCCGGGCGGGGTCGGTGCGCTGGGCGTCGTGCCTAAGACCTGCAGATGTGGTGCAAATCTGGGAGGATCTGGGAGGAGGAGACCTTCGCTTCATCCAAAGATCCGGGTGATGAAAACCTTCCCAAATCCTCCCATTTCATGTGACTTGTGAGGTGATGGAAGCGAGGTAGATGTGGAGACCTTCCCTTCTGTGATGAGAAGCCAAGTTCCCTTCTACTTTGTAGAGAAGCATGAGATATACCACAAGGTGACATGGTTATTACATGTTTACATGGTTCAGGGGTCTCTGAACTGAATTCTTCTGGGTGACCATCCTGAGTGACGCCAGGAAACCATGTTTGGGACAAGAATCTACAAAACACCCAACACCTGCCCACATTGCCCTGCCCCAAAACACTCCCACCCGTGTCCGACGGGTCGCACCTTTCCATCCACGAAACCTCAGAAAGGTCCAGGATTCTTCGACACACTTTGGCACGAAAACCCGTGAGCACTAGAACACCGAAAAGCATGTTTCAAAAATGCACGACTCGCACGCCTCGCACGCCTCGCTGGACGCGCGAGCGGCGCGCAGCGAGCCGCTGCGCGGGGATCCGACGACCCCCTCCAGCTGCACGCGTTCGTGTCTCAGACCAAGAGGGTCTTCCGCTGGTTGAGCTTCAGCTTCCGCTGGTTGGCTTCGCTCCAAGTGGCTGCACGGCTTCTCCCACTGCTGTGGCCAGGCCTCGCACGCTTTAGTGAAGGGACCGATCAGGGAGCACGGTGAACCGTTCGCAAAGCAGAACCGTTCGGCAAAGGATTTTAACCGTTGAGAGGCAGTTCGAACCACACAGGAGACTTTATAGCAAAAGGAACCAGAGCAGGTCGTGGGTCGCTTGCAGGTTACACAGACTGTTACACAGAAACCTGCAGATGCCTTCCTGGACCAAGTCCTTTCTCCTGTTTACTGTAGATAGCCTGGGATGGGAGCTCAAAAGAACGAAAGTCTACTACTGTATAATATACACATCATGCAAATATATAATAGTTAATGCGTATCTTTGTCTATATATACTTATTACAAACTATACAAAATATTTTTGTGGGGTTCTCAGCTGCGGTTGGATTCTTGAATTGTTGACACAGCCGAGCAAGCCTGTGGCTTGATGAATACGACGCATCCCTCGGCCCAAATTCTTCGATCAAAATTTCCGGGTGGTTTGCATGGGGAGCGAATCTCAGCCGATCAGCGCCAAAAGTTCAAGTGGAGCAACGCATCGGCACACGAACTGTCAACCACACGACTCTTAACTCAAAATCGTGGCAAAAGAACTTTGAAAGAGGTGGATGTCCACGGGTCACTTCGCAGTTTTCAGGGGGGTCCGTCTTCTGTGGTCCAAAATGGAGCTTTTGGCAGATCGGAGCTCCCGCGCTTTTCGCCCTCCGCCCTCCGGCCTGCGCTCCCAGGGCTTGGTGCTCCGTGTTGGGCACCTCAAGGTTGAGACCCAATGGCTTCCAAAAAAACGTCCAAACCCCTTCGGCTTGAATCAGGACGGATGAAGACCGTGCATCCTCTAAAATTCGTGCCATGGCCTTCACAAACTGGACCTGTTTTGGAGCCGCAAGGCCGCGAAGCCGTGTCAATCAAGCACTTGTCTCGACCCGAGACGTGTGTTGATAGACCGAGTAGCTCTGGGTATTGCGCGCGGTGTTTTCTTCAGCCAGTTCATGAAGACAACAGAAACAGACGAAACGTTTCCAGCGAAATGGCCAGAGATTGCAATGACTTTCGCTTGGCCTGTCAGGGAGCCCAGAGAAGAAGGAACTTTGCTTCCAGGTGCAAAGTGAAGGATTCTTTCGAAGGACTTCGAACCTATTACCAGTCCAAGTCCTTCTTAGAAGGACTTTGCTTCACCAGTCAGGAACCTTTTACAGTCACCTGCTAAGTCCACCCCTGAGGCCACGCGCGGGCGACGTGTACGCCTCAGGCAAAAGACCGAACCAACGAACCCGGGAAAGCGATGAAGCGATGAAGCGTCGAAGCAGAAGGGTCTAGGTTTTTCCGGCAAAGAAGAGCGAGTCGTGAGGTGGATTGCTTCGTTTCGAAGTGCACCTCTGTCCAATTCTCGAGGTGACCGAGTCCAGTGCTGCGGTTTTGTGGGGAGTCGAGTCGAATGGAACATGCACAAATAGGCAACGAGGCAGCATTCTGGAAAGGAACAGAAAAAGGAAAAGGAAAAGAAAGAAAGAAAGAATGGAAAAGATTGGTTCGTCACTCTTCTCGGTCTTTTGCTGGTCCCACAAGGATCTGGGGCAACATCATGGTGGTTCCACCAGAATCCTTGGCCATTCCTCGATCGGGGCCGTGGGTCCCAATTGATCAATCTCGTGCCCTAGTAGCGTCCGATCGCTCCTGGTAGCGATGCCCTTTGCTCCTAGTAGCTTCTTGTTCCTAGGAGCCCCTAGTAGCGTCCTTGCTCCTAGTAGCTTTAAACAGGTCGCCACAAGAAAGTCGAGACTTCCTCATCATTTTGGGCCTCATGTTCTCCTCTCTCTCACCTCAAGTTGCTTCCGCTTCCCGTGCACCACCATCTCCCGGCTTCCGCTGGTGAAACCGCCCTCTTTTTCGGACGGGCTGACGGAACCGTCCTTCGACACCGGACCGACGGAGAGCCGCAGACAGCAGCCCCCGGCCCCCGGAGTTTCAGCTGAAAACTCTGAGATGGACCTCCGGCCTTCTTGTGTTTTCGGGGGCCCGGAGCATATGGCTAGATTTCTCAAAGATTTCATAAGGTGCACTCTTGCGGCCCAATGTTGTAGAAGGTACTCACGCAGGATATTCGTTCGCTGGAAATGCCGAATAGGGTTTTGACTTGTGTCAAAACGATGGGTTGCTTGGTGTTTGCCATGCCTGAAATCTAGTCTAGTGCCTTGGCATCGTGGTCACATGAAACAGCTGGTGCTTCTGGCTGGAGACGTCACTTCTTTCTGTATCTGATGAGACTCACTCAGCTCCATAGGTCGAGCAGTGGAATATCCCAAGCTGAACTGGATGTGGTCTTCCCCAACACCTGTGGGTCTAGACCCAGGCTGGATAATTCCTCTGTTGTTGTCAACTTCTCTTGGGCCATTTGTGAATCTTGATCTTGAGCCAAGCTCCGCATCATGCTCTATCGATCTTTTTGAGTTTGGAGGATCACGTCTAGAACGTCTAGAGTGGCACCCATGTCACCCTACCTGCATGGACTGTGCAGCAGCGCAAAGTTCTTCCAGCAGCCGGCCCTCTGGGTGGCACCCAGAACGTCCGCAGCCCAGCAGGACAGCAGTGCAACCCTCAATGTCGGTAGTTGATGGCTTCTGACTGTACCCATGTGAGAGCGCAGACCTTTTCTCAAAGGTTTCAATTTTGGGTGGCTTCGAAGCGGGGGACATCTCCGTCGTGCCAAAAAGGGGGGCACTCCCTCCGTCGCTCCCTCCGTCTCCTATATCCTGTTCCGACGCCTTGAAATCTTCCTGGTGGTCCCACAGGGCTGCTCACGCGTTCAGGTATGAAGTGGTATCAATGGACGCTGGCATCTCACCGATATTGACCTGCAGCGCTTTGGACCCACAGCAACAGACGCACCACTGGACATTTAACTGAAAAAATACTGCAGTCGGAGGTGGGGTTGGCTTTGGACCCACACAAACAAAAGGGTGTTTGATGGGTCGGAAGATGTTGCTTAGTGTGTAGATCATGCAATGACTTGGGGAAGCCGCGAGGTCAATCAGGCCCGCTAGCCGTTTTTCATCATGTTTCATGTCTTCAGTTCTTCCAACTGGGGCAGGAGCTGCATGGCTGAATTGCACCTATGTCAACAAATGTCAAGCCTCATCAAATGCTGTGCATGTCCCATGTGTCCCATCCACCACAACTCCTTGCCTCTCTCTCTCTCTCTCTCTTTTCCTCTTTCCCTGTTTCTTTCTTTCCCTGTGTTTTCTCTCTGTCCTTTATATATATATATATCTTTCTTCCTGCTTTCTCCAGAAGGCGGTCGCTGCGCGCCAGCCAACGCCGCAGCAGCCTCAAAGCGCTCCTGAACCTTCTTTAAGACCTCCCGCAAGACGGTTACATGCGCGAAGGGGGCTAACGGGTGCACCCCGGTGAGGGGGGGTTACGGGCACGGTCAGGGCCCCCGGACGCCGACGGCGGGGGGGCATCTCCCTGGTCGGAATCCCGGACGTTCGAAGGACGCCTTCGCAGCGAAGGTGTAAGGCGAATGGCACGTGGCTGAGCAACCGCTCGGTTTGTATCTTGGAAAGTGCCTTAAACCGCCCAAGCACCAAGAACCGAAGTCGCAAGGCACCCAACCAGAGGGTCCCAAACTGCAGGTATCTCCGGGCGGCTCCCGTGTGCCAAATGGATGTGTGCAATCTCTTCGACGTAACATTAGGTTCTCACATGGTCTTTTGAACTCCGCAATGGGAGGAAAAGGTACAGTCCTTGACATAATCATGGAAGTGGGGATGGCACCACCTGTTTTAGTCTATTCGGATTTCATGATCATCCTTCGGGGCAATGCCATCCCACTTCCATGATGATTTCAGGGAGTGTACCAGTTGCTCAGTTTGGCCACTAGATGGACGTCCCTTCTCTTTTTCGTGCCGATCTTTTTAGGCCTCCTGGTCCTCCTCCGTGGCGACAAAGGTGATGGCAAGGCCCTGAGAGGCGACTGGTCGTGTTCATTGGGGCTCCTGTTCTCAACCTTTCAAACCTACACAGGTCGAACACCGAGAAGAAAGCTGGAAAACGGTCGGGTTCCTCATGATCGGACCAAGCGATCGTCGCTTTCCGGTTCATGCTAGCACCGTGGCGGTCCGATCTTGTAGCCATGGCGGTGCTCTCCAAATCTATTGGAAGATCAAAGAATCAACACGTCCTTCTTGAGAGTCCTGCTTGCATCTGCATCCTGCTTGCACACCCAAGTATCATCCTTCAATCAGTAGCAGGTGCAGTCTAACTCTGAGTGGCTGATCCATCCCCTGAATCATTGCTACCATCCGTCTGAGGCTGAAAGCAGCCACCTGTCTTTGCTAAGGGGGGACACGAGCTCTCTTCACCTAGAATCAGCTCTAGCTTCGCGCAAGCGGAAAGCGCACCCAAAACAGAAACAAGTCAAATGTTCTGATTCACTAGTCTGCTGTTTGCAGATGCTCTTGTCAATGTCTGGACTCCTGGACACTCTTTCGACCCCCCCAGGTCCAATCTGCCGAGAACGGCGCCGCGGCGCGACCCACGACCCGCGGCGAAAATCACGGCGTCCGAGCGAAACGGAGACGTCCGAAACGGCGAGACGGTCATCGCTTCGGGTTGCACCAGAGACCGAAGTCGCATGGAGGCCGGCTTTTCGGGTTCAAGTGGGTCAAGTGAGTCAAGTGCATGATTCTTTGATGCTGGAACCTGTCTTGAAGCTGGAACATGCTGGTGCCTGGAGAGGTCTTTTTTCAGCATCTTAAGGCTGCAAATGGCTTCCATGCAATGGTTTTGATGTGGAAACCAACCCAACGACTCAATTCCTTCCCACCGGATTTCGGCCTTGGTCCCAAAGCGGCCAGCCCGCCCCACACGATGCAGGTAGGAGTCGCCTCAGAAAAATCCGTCGTTGGTTTCGCGCGAATGAACGGGTGGAGGTCGGTTCAAAGCACCATGTTTACAATTTCAGTTCTTCGGTCCAAATCGGATTTTCCACATGTCCGGCAATGACACATCACGTACTGTCTTCCCCGGGACAGCTCCTGCCCACGTCCATCCGAATGGTTCAGCCCATTACGGCCGAGCCTCTCATGTTAGTAGGGAGAAGAAGAAATGCAGTTTCTACTTGATAACCTTGCTTCATTTCTCCCACAACATAGACGGACCTTTCTTACCATATAAAATCAAGTTCTTGCTGGAAAGAGGGAATCTCAAACACCTTGACAGGTCTTCAGGCGGTTCCGCCAAAGCTACCACCAACAGTTGGCGCACCGTAGTACGACGGACAACCACCATTTGACCACTACTGACCTGCCTTCAAGGGACCAGATGAGAACCGAAGAATATGATCCTCTAGACTCTAGACATCTCTGGACTCTAGACCAAAAAAAACAAGTAAACCCCAAGGTGGCCGGGAATTGGGGGTCTCATTCTGAGAAATGAATGGCACGGAATGGAATAGCATAGAATGGAATGAATGGAATGAAAGAATGAAAAAATGAATGGAAGGAATGAATGAATGAAAGAATGAAGGAATGAAGGAATGAAGGAATGAATGAATGAATGAACGAATGAATGGAATGCAAAAATGAAAGAATGAAAGAATGAGTGAAGGAATGAAGGAATGAAGGAATGAATGAATGAATGAATGAAAATCACTTCACACATCTTCACACAAGCCGTGTCGCTCTCATCAGGCATATCATAGTTGATGACGATGTTCACCCTTTCGATATCGATACCTCTACCGAAGAGGTCTGTTGATACCTGAGAAGCCAGGTGGTGTGAATCCCAGACACGCTGGAAATTAATCTCAACACGGAAAAGTTTCAATATGTCAATATGCACGATGATGATTCAGTTCAAAACATTATAGTTGAGGCTCCTTACATCAAGAATGGTCGCCTTGGAAAGTCATAATTTGTCAGTTTGAGGTGCATCCTCATGCAGGAAGACTACCACCCCAACCTGCTACGCTTGGACTATGTCAGCATCCATGTCTGTTTCGCCACTCAATAGAGACTCTCCTCCAACACTATGCCCTCAGCCCTCAGGTATGCATACCCCATATAGTTCTTGTTTGTCTTGCCACCCATCGCACCGCGGGGAGATTCCGTCCTGTCACATGTGAAAAAATGGGGTAGCACTCCAAAGAATCCTCAAATTATGGGCATCACCTCCTTGTTTCATGGACATCCCATCAATTGCGGTACTATGACTCAGCAAGAAAGACTGCGCAGAAAACCAAGGAACCATAATTCTCTTCTGGAACTCTTTGAACTGCTTATACCTCGCAATGCGGTCCTCGCAGTGACGCACCATGCGGACCGAAGGATGGTTGGGACAGTCCAACTAGCACATTGGGAGGCGCAGTGGCAGTAGTGGTGTCCGTCGGTTTTGTTGGGTTGTGTGTTGTGGGACGTTGTGTAAACGCCAGAACGGACGCGAACAGGAACTTGGTGGCTGCGGCTTTGCACATGGCCCCTGCAGCACTGCAGCTCTTGGGCACCGGAGACCTTTCCTTTGAAGCTGGCCTTTCTTAGCTCTGAATTTGAAGGGATCTCCAAAAAGTAATCAGGTTATCAAGTCTCGTTTTCGATTCATCTACAATGCAAGCTGATGATCACGGACGCCACATCCTCCCGTTCAGCTAAACACAAAACGAGGTTGAACATCAGCTGGACTGCGCCAATTTTTTTTATCTGAAAAGGGACAAAGTACAAAACAAACCACCTTAAGCCCTCTACTTTTGTGGTAGGTTGTTGTGTAGTCATTTGGCAGACTCACAGCTTGAAGCAGGCTACTGCGTTTCTTCTCATCTGACCCCGCACGGACACAGGTAGGGGCTGCCTTGTTGTAACGTTGTGTTAAGCAATGGCAGCCACACATGACCAACCGTCCAATCCCGTTTGAAAAAAAACAAGACAGAAGCAAATGAAAATGCAATACCCGTCAGCAACATGCGCTGTACGCTCCTAGGAAAAGAAAGCGGAAAAAATAAACGAACAACATGCAAAAATAAAGCGAAAAAATGCGAATCGAAAGCGAAAAAATAGTTGTTTAGCAAAAAAAAATAAACACGCAAAGCTACATGTTTGTTGCTTTTTTGTTTGCTTTACCTGTTGCTTGCTTTTTTGCTTTGTTTGTTGCTTAAAAAATTGGCTCCTTGTATCTATGGCTGGCATGGCGAACATAATCGTAACGGTTCTCGCTATTTGTGCTGGTTAGCTCGCAGAGTCTTCTGCAGGAAGCGCGGCCTTGAACACTCTTCCAGTGGAGTTGATACACAGGCCACATACTTGCTACATGGGAATGTCTTTGCTGCTCGTCCTAGTGCCGGTGCTACATCACTTCCCCAGGGTGCCACGCGTCCGTCTTTCGGATCATTACTGGGGGAACACTTCTCGTCAGACCTGCACTCTGGGGAACACTCCTGTCCCACACTCTGGGGGTCCCACACTCGATGTCCAGAGCCGGGCTCACAACAAACTCGCTCACTACTGGGTGGCACGTAGTTCACGAACTAGGGTGGGAGCAGAAAATGGACGAGATCCTTTTTTTGAGAATCTGACTGTAACATGCTCAATTCTAACATTCTAATGACTGTGAGTTGTCAAATGATTGCTTACACACCAAACCTGCCCAATGCACGATGTAGGACAGTTGTCTTTCCCAAGTGCAAGAGCTGATTTATGGGGCAAGGAAGTTGTTTGAGCAGCCTCCTTTGCCATTTCATCAGGGCAGTAGGGTTGACCAAAACAAAGCATGCCCCAGGTTGGCGTGACAGCAAACGTCCTCCTGCTGCAGCCCAGAGTGGATGGCAATGGACGGGAAATTGCATTCCACCTGAGCCGAGCGACAAAGCATCAGTGGAGCCTTGAAGACATTCTCCCGAATCCAGTTGTAACTGCCCTGGGATTCCAACCGCCATTGGCTTTCAACGGTCTGAATCCTAAAGAAACCCTGGCTTTACACAGTTTTTGCACTACAAAACCAGCTCCACCGAACCCTTTTCCTTCTTCTTCTTCCCTTCGTTGAACGGGAACCAAAAGGGTGTCCAAATGCGGCACTGGGAGGTCTCCCAGCGTGCGCGGCCCCGAACTCCGCGTGTGCTGCGCAGGAGGACACCAGAACATCACCCGGTTGGCCTGGTCGCCTTCCGAGAAGACCGTTAAAAAGGTTCGGTTGGCCTGGATTGGGAGTCTAAAAACCTCAGAAGGCTACTAAATCGAAGGTGGTTGGATTCCTATAGAGATACGGTGTATAGTATATATAGAGAAACCTCTGCCATGCTATTGCCCTCACGGTCAAATCTACTCTTTGATGTCCGTCACCACGGCCGAGCATGGCTGCAGGCAAGCGTCCAAAAGCTTGTCCAAGGCCACCGCGCGCTGAACCGACTTCACAAAAATCACCACCTGCACGTCCAAGCTTTTTCGTGTGGGGATGCTATTTTCACATCAAAACCACACTCCATGTCTAGATGAATAGTCCAGGAATCCGACGCGAAGCTCCAGGTGTGATGACCCGCGTGTGTTGTTTAGCAAAGACACTTAGCTATGCCTGAGTCCTTCTGATCCTGAGATTCCATGTTACCCTTGCAGCACCTTAACCTCATGTGACTTATAGAATTATGTGTGTTCCAAGGGTCTGTAACGTACCATGCCGCCACAGCAGAATGATTCATTGGCTTCCCGAAAGCCATGGATGCTGCTGTTCACTCTGCAGTGCACTGCCGTAGCACAGCCCGCGCGCATTCCACCCATTCTTTTTTGGGCTCAGGTGTCGAAGGTCCTTTTGCCATGCTGATCCCTGGCGCGCAGTGCAAGGTCGTAGAGTGTGCCACTCGGACCAAACTGTGGATTAAGCTATATAGGGAGACCAAAGGTTTTGAGCTACAAGGGGTCTGCTCTTCCGTCTGACTCGGGGGTCTCCCGATTCGAGCGACCCGGGTCGCCCAAACCTGCTTGGCCAGCCATTTCGTGAACGGACAACATGTTGAACTTTTCCGTGGACGGACTAGCCATCCTCCCAACAGATCGAAGAGGAAGGCTAAGGTTGTGGAACGTCTGAAACAGATCGAGGGTGCGTGGGAAGTGACGACTTGTCAAGAACAACACAAGCTACAAACAGCGTAGAAAGTTTTTGCAGCTCTGCAGCTCACCAATCAAACCCCTAGAACTCTGCACCCCTGTCAATTGTCATATTATTCCTATAGACGCCATTGTGCCACGAAAACACGTTGAAAACACACCTTTTTTGCGACAAATGAGATGTACTCCCAAAAAAGAATCGCATGGAACCTGAAAACCACTGATTTGTGGAGGGTCCGCCAGTCTGTCTTCCTTGCAGGTCCATGCCAAGCCCGGTTCCATGTGGGTCTCTTGGGTGTGTGTTCTCCCACAGCGCTGGGAGTTCTTCCGATCCCAGCCGACCCTCCGATCGTGGCGACAAGACACGCAAGGACACGGACGCGAAGCTGCACGAAGGAGTTCGCAGCTTCTTGGCAGCTTTCAAGACGGTTTCGGAGGGAATTTGGTGATCCAAATCTACTGGGGGTATGTTTGGGCCGGGCGACCGCGAGCCTGTTTTCAGTGCTCAGATGTATAGGAAGCCAAGGCACTGCGTTAGATCGCGCAGAGCTCGGATCATCTTTTGATACCTCAGATCTGGGCCCTAAGAATCCTTGAAAACTACACAGCAAGAGTCTGCCATAGCAGGGGTCTGGACAAATGTCCGTTCCATTGCTTCAGGTCCGGTGCTGGCTTGAAACGGTCAAATGATGCACCACTTTCCTACATGGAAATCAGCTTAGGGACCTGGAGGGAGTCCACTATAGAGGACGAAACACGTGTTGTTCGACGTTGTTCCCTTTACGGCAGGGAAAGTGAGCTCTTCTGGCATATTCTGGGCCATACATGGCATCATGGTCACCCGCCAGGAAATTGGGCTGCTTTGTCTAGGTGCGCAATCAAATGAGGATCATTCAAGGATACAAAGGTACACATAGGCAACCAACTTAGCAGCGATGGCCTCCAACCTAATAACAATGGCCTCCAACCTAACAGCGATGGCCTTCCAACCCACCAGTGATGGCCTCCAACCTAATAGCCATGGCCTCCAACCCGATAGGAATAGGTACACATGTTCCGAATCCTTGCGGCCTTTCCATGGTCCTCTCCACCTTTGTCTCGTCGAAGTGACTCGGCTCACGGCTCCCGGCTCCTTTGGTATGGTTCCATGGGCGACTTTCCCATGGAAAGCGTTTCCACCGGTTGCACCAGCGGTGAATACCGGTGTTCGCCCAGGCGCTCATCCACAAGCTCCTCCACCTCCCCAAAGAGCAGCTCCTCTGGCTGACGCCCCAAGAAAGCGAAGCTCACCCCGGCATCCATCAGCCTGGGCAAAAACCATTGAAGGCCGAGTCGGTGAAGGCAGAAAGAAGAGGTCTGGTCGTCGACCTCCAAGAACAGGTCACTCTCCAACTAGGCTATGCGGAGCTTAATGACTCAAATCCCTTCCGGGTGAACCGTAGCTTAAACAAGGCCTCGGCCGAGATGCTATCGTTGAGATCCAGAAGCTGCAGCGAAACAAACAACTATATAAGACCAAACAAGCAAGCTCACTGGTGTTTGGTGGTTTTCCAGCTTTTTAGAGTACCAATCTCCAAGTTGCAGTATCCTTTATTGGGCCCAATGGTGCCATTTTTGACCAAAAAACCTCCTACAACTCACCACACCCCACTTCTGGGATCCTCTCAAAGCGATTTCGCTCTTTTTCTCCTGGAAAAAAAGAAGTATGACTGTGACTGTGTGTGTGTGTGTCTTACCCACCTTGGATCTTCTTTTCGCAAGTGCTGTCATGAGACCACAAGGGCTGGCCAGCCACTTGCTCGCTCATCCGAGCTCCACAGAGCAAGCGAAAGGCGCTTGACAGATCGGACAGGCACTTGCGCTCGTGGTCGCTGAGCCGCGAGGGGTGACGGAAGGAAATGGTGAACTCCAGGTTGGAATACCTGCGAACAGCAGGTTGCGCTCGTTTTTTGGTTCTCCGATGTGAAACACCGTGTTCCCAAAGGTCCGGGACTGTCCACCCAAGAAGCCCGTAACGACCCGTAACGAACCCTCCCGCGCATCCGTGTTGGGACACCGCAGGACCCCACCTCCGGACCTTCTGCTCGGTTCTTCGGTGCTTCCCAGCAGAAGTCCGCAGGTGGTCCCGTCGGTCACCCTTCAAAAAGGAAAGATGCTGGCAGGTCAGAGGACGAAGGAAGAAAGGAAAAACCTGCATGAAAGAACGGAATGTCCAAGAAACCTGGTCCTGAAAGTCTAGCCCCAGAAGCTAGACTTAACATGACTGGACCGTTTCAATCCTTTTCATTTACAAAACCAGCCAGAGGTTCCAGAAGGCATAAGTTCTGCATAGTTGAAAGAACCAGGTATGCAACTTCCTGGAACGGGACAACTGTGTGCAAACCTTGTGGCCGCAGCCACTTCGGTGGTTTTCAAGCGACCGCTGTTCCAGAAGGCCAAGGCCAGGGCGGCATGGGTCCCCAATCAGCGGGCTTCTTTCCCTTCATCGAAGGCGTTCCGAACGGCCGTGGGGGCGGAACCGCCAGGGTCATTGAGGTCATCCGAGCAGCAGATTGGGCGGGGAAGCCTTGAGAATCAGAGCAGCCAACAAGTTGATCCAACTCGACCTAGCTGCGCTCGCGCCAAGGCTGGCGCCACACGCACCAACGACCCAGCTGGCAAGAAGACCTAGAGTCCTAGAGCCCATTTTACCTCTGTTCTGGACCACCAACCATCCAAAATATAATCTGTTCCACGCAGATGGCTGGGTTTTCGCACAAGTTGTGAAGGAATTGTGAAGACGCAAAACATTCATTGCAAACATTGGTCCTAGTTCTCATGTCCGACCTCATGGTATACAGGGCGAAATCACAGCAAAATGAGCTAGATCCTGGCGCTTATCCTGTGGACCGTTTCTGCACATGTGCTTTGTGGAACAAGGCTATCGGCTATGCTACCTGCCCCACGCCCTCACCAGGAGGAAGCACTTCACATCCCAAACAATCAAACATGTGGATGCTGCTTCCGAACTGAGCAGACCCTGCGAAGGATTTCTTCACCTTTAAGAGGGCGCTGAGACATGAGACTCAACATCTATCCGACTCAGTCCATCATGGAACTCCAACTCGGAAGTCCATCTTACGAAGTCCAAAAACATCTCTCCAAAGAAACATCCGCACGTTGGGGTGCAAGCCCCCAGCACCACCATGTTCGGACCCAGTGCGTCGTTGGGCCAAGGGGCTCTGCCGCATCGCCAGACCCCAGGAAGACCCTTTCCTCCACCACATTCTCTAGCAAGCCTTGGGTCAGAACTCGGTCGAAAGACTCCTTTTATGGCCTGAAAAGGGCCTGAAAACTGAATTGTCCTATGAGTCCGGCAGGGACAGCTGAATGTTCACTTGTCAGCTGGGTGCTAAATCAAAGCGGTGTCACCTCTTTTTGGTGCAAACATGGTTTCCAGTTTGATCCAATTTGATCCAATAAATTATCAAAAAAAATAGTGATGTCCAAAACCTAGGTACAGATCGCATTCGCAAAGCAGCTGAGCTTGTCTCGAGGCGCCCGAAAATGCTCCACCTCAGGGCTCTCCGGACCGGTCGCCGGGCGGAGAAGGCGTCAACGGCCAAACACTCGACCATCGAGTGAGAAGGATGGCAGACGAACTTGCGCGAAGGTTTTCTCTCAGATAGAAGAAAGGAATCTTTTGGTGAGAATGGTGCTTTTTGTAGGTTTGTCTCAAAAAGGCGCTGCACCTTCTTCAACTCGCCAGCTGCTTGGTCAAAGGTCTCTTGCTGTTTCGAGCTCAGCTTTGACACCTGCACCGTGGAACGGATCCTCCCATCCACGAGCCAGAGCCAAGTGGTCTAACGAGAGACTTATATATTGGGATACTTGAAAGGGCATGGAAAAATAGAAACGCAAAGCGAGTGGAACAGAGATTGATTGGGGTAGGTCGAGGCCTACTGTAGGCCCTACACCTACCGTAGGCCCTATCCTACCCTATCCGTACGCCACCCATGCCCAGACCCTACTCCAACCCAATCCGCACGCCTTATCCGGGGCCGTATGCAAAAAAACACTTTAAGACCCCCATGCAAAACGTCGACTCCTGGCAGCTGTTTGCTTAGCACGTGTGAGGAGTCTATGGGGCTACATAGCCCCCACGCTTTTTCGAGGAATAATTCAGAGAGGGTCAGGTATCAAGTCAAGTCGTCTGTATGTTGATGTGTCTGCAGGAAACGATTGGAATGAATTGTCCAGCTCAAAAAGGCATCATGACCCGCAACCACCACAAGGAGAAACCATGAGGGGCGAGAGAGGGAGAGCGAGAGAGCTCTTGATTAACTACTGGCCAATGCCAAACCTCGACATGTAAAGCTCCAAATCTCAGGTCACAATCATGAAAGAGACTCTCCGCCGCCCCACCTGCTGCAACAGCGGCGCCGCCGTTTCCCCTGCAGCTTCACTCAGTGCTTTCTCGGCACGCTCGTCCTCGCGGACATCTGCCGGGTCGTGGCGGAAAAGGAGCTTGAAGAGCTTCAGCACCACGAACTTCTCCTGCAGGGAAGTGAAGATCTTCTGAAAGGAACACACCAGTTCAGTGGTTTTCTGGGGGTGGAACAAGTATCTGAGGAAATTTGAGACAAACCAGGAACAATGGTGGGGATAAGCACACGTCATTTATTCATATACTCAAAATAAACTGTTGGGGAGTGCACTGGGACCATATTGCTGGTGCTATTCGCTCATGCGCAAGGTTGTGTTCACAGCAGCAGCAGCAGCAGCAACACGACGCAAAGGCAACCAACCAGTGCGCTGCTCAAAACAAGTAAAGCTCCTGCATATTCAACAACACCCACCACACTATGTCCATTGGTGTATTCAGTGTAAACAATTGTTTATATACTTTATAAACACTGACGGGTTCACTGGTGTTTGAGGTTTGTTGGTTGCCAAAGCCTATCACACCAAAGGTGGCGACATCCAAAGACTCGAAAGGGCCACAAGCTCACGAGTTGCACGCAACCACTTCTCGGTCGGCCAAGGGCAAGCCGCTTGACAGCGACACGACGTCCGAGCCCAGCCACCAACTCATGTCGGAAGAGGAGAGACCGAAGACCTGTTTGGTGGACCAGCGGAACAGGTTTGGGTCGTGCGACTCGTAACACGAGGGCCTACCGTATCTTCGTCTGACCGACCGCTCTGGCTTGACTGGCAGGATTCACAGTGAACATCCCACCCACCAAAAGGTACCACGAGTCGACACGTGTTTGACGAGTCGACACCACCAAAAAAGCTGGTTTGGGGTTTCTTGGCAGTCCAGACCCTCGCTGGCCATCTGCTGCTCTGCGTGTTGGAAAGCCTCGCAGCTCAAGAGTTTCAAGGTGACCTCCTTAGACGCCACAACTGACGCCACCAACGTGGTCGGTCGGTGCATGTCAGAGTGGCGAAGCACTGGATTTCCTCTTTTTCGATCGGCACGACGAGCTACCTCTCGCTTGCCCGAAGACATGGGGACATGCGGAAAAGACACTCTCCCCAAGGCGGAACTCCTGGTCAAAACTCAAAAGTTCTCAGGTTCCTAGAAGATTTCCTTGGCACGATCACGCTGATCAGATGGTTTGACGAAAGTTCCAACACAAGTGGGAGTCTCCGTATTGAAGGGGTCTACAAGTGTACCTCGCTGAAAACCAGCCGGACCAGCTCACAAAAACTAGGTCATTGCTCAAAGGTCCATTTCTCGAAGTTCCACGCAACTGAGAAACGTGTGGCTCGTCATCTCATCCCCCTGAAGGTTCATCCTCCAAAGAGACTTTTGTCCCAAATCTTCCGAGACCTATCCAACAATACCCACACAGAGGTGGTGACCCCTTCCGCCCTCAGGGCCCATCATTAGACGGGTCATTAGACGTAGGAAAGAGACCCTCCCACGCACCGGCCGCGACCACCGTGTCAGACCACCGCACCACACCGGCCGCACCGGCCGCGACCGCTCAACGGCCGCTCAACGGCCGCCGGCTCGACGGGCCCACTGACTACGCCGAGCCACCGGGAGGAAGTGATGAATCCGCCGCGCCGCCTGGACCCGCGTCAAATTAGCCGGGAACTCGTTCACCTCGGCCACCCGAACGCGCTTCGGTGAACGGACCCTTTTCCGCAGGGAAGGAACGCGCGCGCACGAAGCGTGCAAAGTGGGCGGAACTAAAGACCCGTTCGCCAGGGGCGCCGTGTTTTTGGGGAAGGGGGAGTCCCCAGCCCCTGAAGTGGGGAAGCTGAGTCTTGGCGTGGGAAAGAATGCACCAGGGTTTCTGGCAGAAATGCGAGTTTGTGTGTGTGTGTGTGACATGTCATGATCCAGATCATTACTGTACATGTAACACACAAACATATCAGTTACATGTGTGTGTGTGTTGATTTGTCTGACCCGGACTGCAGGGACTGACCGACAAATGGAGATGTTCCTTTCGGCCACTGCGCCACCGTGGCGGATCCGACCGTTTTGAGGATGGGTGGACGGGACGTTTTGAGGGAAAACACACAAGGATGGGTGCCTCATGTTGTGGTGTACATATGATATATCACATAGGGTCATATAGGATCATATAGGGGATTCATCCAAATGTGATACATCAAGTTTACCAATAAAGGTGAACGGCCGGTGCCTTTGCCTGCCACCAAAAGCGACGCTTGCTCGACATCTCTGCCGGGCAGCGAAGTCCCGTATATCGTTCACCACACCTGGGGGAACGAGTGGAAAGCGGGGATGGAACTGGGTCTCCAGGGCCACTGAGAATCAGCTTTTGAACGCTGAGCGGGGGTAGAATCAGTTGAAGTTCTTTGGTGGAATAGCTGGCCAAAACATACCAGGGCGAGAAAAAGCTGAGAGAAGGGCATTGCGCTGAAGGGTGCTTCAAGAGCTCGAGGAAGTGGGCATGGCTATAACCTGGGCCTTCCTCTGTCTCTTCGGCCATGGCGCAACGGCAGCTGCTTCCGTTGAGAAACAAGTTCGTATGTGCTCTGCTTAACTGGCAGTTTGGAAGTCTTGCTCGAAAAAACGAAAACAGCCAGGAACCGTCATCAAAACGAACCCTTTCCGATCGACCTCTGATTCGTCATATCGAAATGGAACTAAGCACCAACATACGCCAGCTCATAGCTTCAATACATAACTTGGCGCTCCGGCTATTGCCTTTCAAGAACCTCTTTTGGCTTTCTGAGGCTGTATTGAGTTCTATCGTCGACTCTCAAGTGAGTGTTGAAAAAGGTTCTCAAAGCACTGCAGGTCGGCAGTGACGCTGTGCAATGAGACGAGCCAAGACGAGCAGACTTTTTGAACGTTGAAAGGAGCACTCCACGCACCGTGCTGGCGGCTTTCTAAAGAGCATGGAAGCTTCCTTTCACCAGGTCTCTCAACAAAGGCCTTTCTTTTGGCAATTTCTTCCAGTCTCTGAAGCCTTGCCACCTCCATTGCTGAAGACCACCATCCAGATATTTCACCGGATTCCGGTCATCCAGAGACCACAAAAAGCCGACACAACTCACCGTCGACGCTCCCCAAAGAGAGAAAGACACTCGGTCTGCAATGCCTGGTTAAACTCTAAGGCGTCCAGAAGATCGTTTAACTTCCGGTTCTTCTCCTGGAACGAAAGAGAAAGAAACACATCGACACGCCACAGCGGGCCAAATACTGCGCTGGGCACGTTTTGGGTTCGCTTCAATCCAATAACAGCAAAACCCTCGCAACCAAAACAAGTGGACTCTGAAATAAGGAACGAAGAGACGCCAAACAGTCGGCCAGGAAGAGAACGCCACGGCCTTCTCGGTGAGTTTCACGTAGTACTGCAAGAGTCCATGCAAGGTGAGCTTCGACTCTTCATCCACCCGAATCTCATGTGGATCCTGCACGGGAGCGCGGAGGGAGGGGAGAACTCCCGAAGAACCCAGAAATCTGGGGCGGATGTCAGGTAGTACGGACGGGTCAATGGTTTTTCTACGGTCAAAAGAAAGGTTCTACACAGATAGATAGACAGACAGACAGGCAGGCAGGCAGGCAGACAGGCAGAGAGGCAGAGAGGCAGAGAGGCAGAGAGGCAGAGAGGCAGAGAGGCAGAGAGGCAGAGAGGCAGAGAGGCAGAGAGACAGAGAGACAGAGAGACAGAGAGACAGAGAGGCAGATAGATAGATAGATAGATAGGTAGATAGATAGATAGATAGGTAGATAGGTAGATAGGTAGATAGGTAGATAGGTAGATAGCTAGATAGCTAGATAGCTAGATAAAGAGATAGAGAGATAGAGAGATAGAGAGATAGAGAGATAGAGAGATA